CAGCCATATTGGGCCCCGCCACCGATGCTGATGGCGCAGCCGGTCTGGGCTGAATCGTCTGCAACCCATTCCATGCTGCAGAACTGGGCATGTCGATCTCCTGGCGCGGCTGCGCAAGCGTTGCCGACGCTGGAGCTGCCCCGCCACTCAGCGGAGAGGGTGGAGACGCGGCTGCCGGCGCTGCGCTCATACCCTCGAAGCCTGGCGGCCCACGTGGAAGCTGGCCCGCGTGACTCCGTGGTGGCGTCCCCGCGAGGAAGGTGTAGATGTCGCTGTGACTTGTGATCGGGTCGCCCTGGGGCCCGTCGGCGAGTGTAGCAGCTGCTGGGGCAGCTGAGCATCCGAAGGCCGGCAGCTCCGTCATCTGGACAGTCGTGACACCAGGCAGCATCGATCCAGGGGCGGGGAATGGGACGAGGCAAGCATCGCCTCCTGGCCCGCTCCCACCGATCGGACGGTGCGTAGCCGGAATGGGACCCACAGGTCGCCCTCCCGCGAGGTTCTCGATGACTGTGTTCATCGCCAGCTCTGTGCCAGGAGGAGTGTAGAGGCCTGCGCAAGCCGAGGCACCGCCCCCTGTGGTGAGCTGTTGTAAGTTCCCTCCTGGCGCGCGGACAACTGGTGCGCCAAGCGCCTGGGGGTCGACCATGGGCGGCACCTCTTGCCACCACTGCTGCTGTTCATCCTGGAGAGCACCGTCGCCAGAACGAGGAGTGAGATGAGGCGTCATCTGGAACTCCTGCGGACCACCCATCTGGACCAGCGGCTGCTGCTGTGGGATCTCCCCCTGGGCGCCTCCACGCTGCTGGGTGATCAATCCAGCAATGGCTGCGCCGTGCGGGCTCGGAGACGGCTCGCGTTCGTGTGGCGCGTCCCCACCATCCTTCCAGACGGCCCACTCGAACTCTAAGGTCTCGATCCGGGTTGCTGCTCTGTGGAAGTCCTCCTGGGAGGCGCGAGCGGCCTGGAGGAGGCTCTTGACCTCGTCGCGCTCGGTCTGGAGGTCCTGCTGCAGGGACTTGACGTGGTTCTCGAGTTGCGCCAGGCGGTCCTCGGTGGATCGGGCGCTGACCTGTGCTGGAGCCGCCGGGGTGGCCGGGCTCCGGGCGGCATCCCCCGCAGACGCGACCGAGTCGAAGAGGGTGCCCTGGGAGCCTGGCGCGGCCGGCGCTGAAGCATCGGCCAGGGCAGGCGCCCCAGCAGCCTCCTCCGGCGCCGCAGGAATGACGCCAGCAGGCGCAGGGCGAGACGCAACGGCCAAGGTGTCCGCAAGGACAGGTGTACTCCTTGACACCCACATTGACATCCCGACGCAGTCCCCGTGGTAGAGATGCGCCCGGTGACCGCGGTTGGCTGTCCAGCAAGCCACGCAGTGGGCTCCGAGAGCATCCTGAGACCTCGCTCGCCTCATCCTCGGAAGTGCTGCTGGTGGCTCTGGTGGCGGCGGCGCGTCTGCCAGGGCTGGCTGGGGTGCTGAGTCAGCCAGGCGCACTGCACTATCGGAAGGTTGCCCTACCCGACCGTGCAGCGGCTGCGGCGGCTGAGCTTCTGTAGCTGCGGCTGCCACTGTTGGTGTTGGCGGCGGCAGCGCAGCGCGCGGCGTTGAAACCACTTCGACTGCACCTCGAACCGCTCCTTGGGCGAGACCTGCTGCAGCCCCTGCCGCCGTCGCCACGGCTCCGCCGACGACCACGCCGAACGCGGAGCTCATCCCAACGGCCTCCACGGCCCTGGACTTCCACGTAGAGATATCTGATCACTGATGCTGCGTCTCCAGCTCTCCCGGCGTTGTGAATCCTGAAAGGAAGCGTACTCGGCGGTGACCGCTGGGATGCACCGGGAGCAGAAGGGAAAGTCGAAGAAGCGCTCGAGTCCCAAGCACACTGGGTGCCCATACGTACCGCACCTGGCACACACGGCGGGCTCGAAGGTCATCTGGTTGCAGATCTGGCAGCTTGCCTGCAAGCCGCTGAGGATGCCTTCGTTGGGGTGCATCCTTGGGCTCATAACCCGCGTGGCTGGATTCGGGGAGGTCTGGCGGAGAGGGACGATCGAATCACCCGGTCCCGCACTGGAGGACGCCATCTCCGATCACAGCCAGAGTCGCGCGGCGGACTCCCAACGATGACAACGATGACCTGCAGAGTTCGTTTTTTCAGGTGTGGCCTCAGAGTGCACTGAGGCGCGTCTTGAGCCAAAACGGGTACGGACCCTCATCCGTCCCGCGGCTCGCGCAAGGTATCGTGACAATTTCGTGCCCGAATAAGCGTCCTAAATTCTGCCCCTGGTGATTTGTCACCAGGAACGAGAAGTCAGAATTCCGGGCGTGCCGGCCCATCCGCTTTCGAACGGGTGTTCCTTCAACCAGAACATCCGCACTGATTCTGACACGAGCGTCGTCGACTATCGAGCGGATTCCCCGCCCGACCACCGACTTTGAGCGAAATGCACTATTGAGCATCGGCTGTAAATACAATAAACTAAAGTTATGGGGCCGGCCCCCAGAGGCTGGCCGAAAATACAATACAATTCATAATACACATGCACATGTCAATGGCAGTGAGATTGCCCCTGCGCTCTGGCAAGGATTGAACGGCTGGCGCACCGGCAGCTCTCTTGTCGCAGCGGCGGGTGAAGACGGCTGGCGCACCGGCAGGACTCTTCTCGCAGCGGCGGGCATTCTGGCCTCCTCTCGTGGCCAGAAACAACACTCGGAATCAGAGGGCCGGCGGGTCCTGCGCTCTGGACGTTCATGCATGACATGACTATTGTACTAATTCATAAAAGTATATAGTATACGGAAGCCCTTGCTCCCGCGCGTCTCCTCGGCTGTCGAACGGTTGCCCGCCCGACAGTCGAGAGCAACAGGATGGATGCCGACAACGAGGTCACCTGTGACTGTGCACTATTGCTCGAGATTCTGATCAATGCGTGCCACCGTCTTTGACTCCAGTCAGGTTCTCAAGGCAAAATATGCATACACAGTTATGACTCCAATGACCTGTCAACACAATGAGCGATACGTGCCTGATGGACTTACAAGGAACTTGAGCGGTGTCTCTTGCGCAGGGGCAGCTCTGCCAGACCCCCGACGTCGTGATTGTTCAGAACGTCGACCTCCAGAGGTCTCGACCCATTCCCCAGGACCAACTACTCGTCCTGAGTCATTGTTGAAAGGTCCCGAGGCCCAGCTAGGGCCCCCAGAGGCCGAAAACGGCCCGGAACCGCCCACTCGGATCTTTGCTGGAGCGTCGGATCTCTGGGTTGTGAACTTGAGCGGTGTCTTCTGCGAAGGGTCAACTGCTGGGTCACCAATACCGTAAGCAGGACGGAAAAAAAGGAATTTTATAATAAAAATATTAAAATTATTGTTATTTAAAAAAAAAATAATGAATATGGTTTATAAATATGGGGTGGGTGGGGGTGACGGACACTCTCGAGAGCCTCCCCCCTCTCCTCCTCCTCGGCCTACAGCCTCTCGTCCTCCCTCCGGCGGCCTCCCTCCTCCTCTCCATTACCTCTCTCTGCTCATCCTCCTCCTCCTCCTCCGCCTCCTCTCCTCTTCTGATACTCCTCCTACTACTCTCCTCCTCCTCCTCCCTTCCTCTCCTCCTCCTCCTCCCTCCTCCTTCTCCATCTCTCCTCCTCCCCCCCCCTCCTCCTCCTTCCTCCCCCTCGTCCTCCCTCCCCTCCTCCCTCTCTCTCCTCCCGCCTCATCATCCTCCTCCTCCCCCTCCTTCTCAACCTTCTCCTCTTTTTCCTCCTCCTCCTCCTCCTCCCTCCTTCTGCCTCCTCCTCTCTCTGCCTCTGCCCTCCTCCTCCTCCCTCATCTCCTCTCCCTCCTGCTCAGCTCTCCTCGCTCCTCCTCAGCTCTCTCCTCAGCTCCTCAGCTCCCCTCCTCCTCCTCACGCTCCTCTCCTGCTCCTCCTCCTCCTCATCCTCCTCAGGACTCCTCATCAGCGACTCATCAGCTCCTCCGCGCTCCTCCTCAGCTCCTCCTCAGCGCCTCCTTCAGTCCTCCTCCCCTCCTCCTCCTCTCTCTCCTCCTCCTCCTCCTCCTCCTCCTCCTCCTCCTCCTCCTCCTCCTCCTCCTCCTCCCACCAGCACGCAGCGCCAAACCAACGGCGGCGGGGGGGCGCTCCTCGAGCTCGAGGGCGGGCGCGCGGCCCCGCGCACGCTGCGTTTGCCGTGCCCCGCGGGGGGCGCAGAGGAGGCCTCCACTGAGCATCGCTTATCCGATCCCTATCCCCAGCGGGCGGCGTGGCCTGGGCCCCACTGGCGGATTGACCCCCCTAGATGGGGATGTAGCCCGTTCCCTTCGGATTTGGAGGGGTGAATCCCCAATTGAGGGGGTAATTTGGTGGGGGTCTCGAAGGGGATGGGGATGGGGATGGGGGTCGGCTAAACGATACTGATCCACGGGCGCGGCCGTGCACGCCGTCGGGCCCCAGCGCAGACGAAGCCAGGACTAGGAGAACGTCGGAGAACGGACCCAGACCCCCTCGGGCAAGGAAACAACCACGACGGCTCTGGGGGCCCTTGCCGACCCTCGGGACCGTCAAAAGACGACTCGGGATAAAAAACTGGTCCAGGGGAATGGGTCGAGACCTCCAGAGGTCGACATTATGAAAGAACATGACGTCGGGGGTCTGTGAAACGAGAGACTCTGAGATCCGGCGGCTCTGGAAAATGTCCCAGGCGCCGCAGCCTTCCGAGAGCGTCCTGGCACGCTCTGAGAGCGTTCCGGAACGCTCGGGGACTGATTCGCCCTCGCCCTAGCCCCGTCCGACAGCGCGTCGTCGGGCCCCAGCGCGCAAGCGTTTCTCCTCGATGTCGGCCTCCGGGGGGGGGGGGCCATTTTCGGGCCCCCGGGCCATCAAGCACGGCTCCGGGACAGGAAAAAACGCACCAGGGGATGCGGAAGTGCGCAGACCGACGCTGGCGCGGGGTGTCCAAAGGAGCGCGAGCGCGAGCCGCAGTCCACTTGGCCTCCTCCTGTCCTTCGCCACTCGGGCCCACACTCGCGAACCAGGCGGGCTCGCGAGCGCTGGAAGGAGCCGACCTGGACGAGGGCGCCGAAGTCCGTGGAGGCGATCACCTCGCCTCCACTGACGGCCGCCAGACTCTCGCCAGAGACCTCGCGGGCCCACGGGCGGTCGCCGCGAAAAGCGGGGACCTCTGCTGGATGACAGCCCTCTGGAGCCCGCAATTGTGCACGTTCTCATTTACATGATCACAGTCGCCAGCGCTGGCGCGAGCATGCCACGTGCTGCCCCTGGAAAACACCCAGCACCTGGCAGCTTCGCGTCGTGATCGTCGACGCAGCTTCAGGCACAACACATTGACGCCCCGTGCGCCTCAGCATTTTAGCGACGCCCCTGCTGGAGCGCTGAGGCCGCGTTGACCTCCCAATGTTTTTTCATGTGCCCACGCTTGTTCTTCGCGCTCGTGCCGTCGTAGTTGTACGGCGCCCTCGGCTTCAACGCGATGAGACGTGGCGGCCTGTCGGGCCCATCTAGCATAGAACGCGTCGAAAACACAACTCCGCCGTCCCAGGCTCCAGCGCTCCCTTGAGCGACTGTTCCACGGGCGCCCGCCAGAAAAGGTCGCACAGCAGCGGCGTGCCAGTAGAGCTTCAGGCCAGACGCGCTGTCAAGCGCGTCCAGCTTGAGTGAGTGCTTCCTGTGGCGCACACCCCTCGCTATCGACGAGCACTTTTCTGTCGATGGGCGGCTCGACCGCCCGCTGCGCCTTCTCGAGAAACAGCCCATGGGCGACATCGCCCTTCTTTTCGACTGGCCCGACTGACAAGTTTAAGCGTGAACCGTCCTTCCAGCTCTGCTCTGTATTACGTATGCCGCGCATGAGCCTCTGGGCCCGGCGCGCAGCAGTCCCTGTAGCACCTCCAAAACGGAGCACACACCTAGTGCCCAGCACCGCCCCTCAATCTTGAAGTCGCCCGCGCCCGTGTTCGCAAGGGACACCCTTGGCACTGGCCTTGGGCACAGGCCCCTTTGCATTCACCACGGTGCCCATGTCCACGCCACGGCCCCAGGACGGCGAGGCCACAGGGGCGGCGGAGGCCGCGTACTTTACCACAACCACCCTGTCCCACCAATGGTTTCTCCAACATACCAAGCCTGATTTCAGCTTCCACCATCCGATCCTCGAAGTGCGCGAAACGCTCGTCCATGCCTTGGGTGATGGCGCGCTGGCCCTCAGCCATCTTGGCGAACACCCCCCTGGCAAACCCGTCTGCGCAGGACGAACGCCGCTGGGCAAGGCCGCTTGCCAGGCGATGCTGGGGGGGGCAAGGCCGTCGTCAAAGCCTTCACCGCGAAGGCTTTCAAGGACGAGATCTGAAGGCGCCTCTGTGCGGGGTGCAGCGCCATTGCGCCTCTTGTGGCGTTGTCCTGGGAGCCTCGCGCACGGGTCTGCACGGAGCCAGGCAGGGCTGGCTGCAGCTCCGTGAGCGTGGGCCGACAGATCAGCACCACCGGCGCCGCGAGGCCCGGCACTGACGGCGGGCCCCGCCGCTCGCCCGGCCAGGCGGCGCACCGAGGCTCCTGGCAGCCGAGATGCCCACGGCTCGTGCCCCCGGGGGGCCGCCCTCGTCGGGGAGCGCGGGGCACGGCAGCACTTTCGGAGGCGGAGCGGGCCACATCCTCGACATCCCATCGGCGCCCCGCCAGGGCCACGTTCGGCAGCGGGCGCGGCAGGCGCAGCAGCTCCCCGCTCACGACGCCACCAAGGCCGCGGCGGTCGCGGCGAGGCGCTCCCTCGTCGCGGCGAGCCGTAAGGGGCGAGCACGGCGCTGCAGGGTGGAGGAGGTGACGAGCGCCGCCGCCGCTCATCAAGGCATGAGGGACCCTGTGAGAGCTTGAGCCGGGTGCTGGGCCTGCCACGTGAGCGCCGTGTGTACAGACTGTGCGGGGGCGCCCTGCACCGTCTTGCGCGGCCCCGCCTCTGGCAATTGCCCAAGGCCAGCCATCGCACACGCCGCGCGCAGAGCCGGGTCTCCTACACACAATGCCTGCATCCCCGCGCCGCCTCACATTTCGACCCCCCGGTGCCCGCCCCGGGGAAAGCGCGGCGACCGCAGTCACGGCGGCCAGCGCACATCCGTGCTGACAACCCGCGACGCCCAGCTCCCCCGCAGAGGCAAGCAAAACGGGGAAAGAAGCTCCGCCATTTACCAGCCTGGAACATATCCCTATCCCTATGCTGGGCACCTCCTTATCACGATGCCAATCTTAGGGATTCCCTTATTTTTTGAGGGCGATTCCCTAAGATTGTCATCGCCTTTTGGCGTGTCAAGTCAATCTTAGGGATAGGGATACGTTCGAGCCATGAGCTCACAGCGGAGCACCGTGGGGACTCGCCGCGGACCTCAGCGGTGTCCCTGTGAGCTCAGAGGCGCTGGGCCCCCTCCTGCACGGTCCTGTGCCAAACCGGCCAGAGAAGAGAGGGGGGGGATGAAGAGGAAGAGGAGGAGGAGGAGGAGGAGGAGGAGGAGGAGAAGGAGGAGGAGAAGTGGGGAGGAGGAGGAGGAGGAGGAGGAGGAGGAGGAGGAGGAGGAGGAGGAGGAGGAGGAGGAGGAGGAGGAGGAAGACCTGTGCAACTCCAGACTTCATCAGCGGTATTGCAAAACACCCTCCCGCTAAATTCCTTCTTCATTGGCCCCTACACGGAGTCATTCTCACTGACGGAAGTGCCGTGTTGGAAGACAACCGTCTGAAGCTCCCGAAATGTGCCCGAACACCATTCCCTGGGACACCAACGCCGCGAATCCCCGTTACTGTTGCGTCTTGACGATCCTGAGCCATGCCAGAACACCACTTCTGGGACTTCAGACACAGCGGATCAACGTGACTGCTGCGCCCTCACATTCTGAGAATCCTCGAAACTGCTGCAAACTCGGAAGACGAATGTGGGCGGCGCTGAAGCGAGAGTCACATGTTGCAAAGGAGCCGCCCGCCCTCCATCTATGAAGCTCTTGCAACTGTTTCACATGAATGTGCGCGGCGCTGAAGCGAGAGCCACATGTTTAAAACGGGCCGCCCTCCATCCGTGAAACTCTTGCAAGTTCAAATATTCAGGATCATTAGTGGTGAAGAAGTCTCAGGCGAAACGCCCTGCCCGCCCTTTCGACCCGTCTCGGGGTGCGCCAAGGAGGAGTTAGTTATACGGACCAAGGGTGGAGGGGAGGACCAGGAGGAGGAGGAGGAGGACGGGGAGGGGGAGGGCGAGGAGGCGTGAGACGGGCTCCCCTGTTAATCTGTCAGACCCGGTGGGAGAGCACAGAGACTAAGAAAATGGTTGGCCCCCAGCTGTAGGAGGAGGGAGCTGGAAGGAGAAGCGGAGGAACGACAGCGAAGCACTTCGGGATGCCCAAACCCCCATCAACAAGTGCCCTCAGTCGCGAGGCCTTGAAGGGAGAGGGAGGTGTTGCTTCCTTAGATGTTTGGGCCTTGCAAGCCGTGCCGAAGTCGTGTCGAAGAATCGTCGGGGTAACTTCCCTGGGGATAGTAGTTCATCCTGGGTCCGTTTGTGACGGCCCTGGAGCCCGAAAACGCCCCCCAGTGGCCAAACACGACGAAAAACCGAGGGCGGCGAAAACAAACAAATCGAGGAGTGAAGTTGAACTACCTTGCAAGGGCAACGTGGTGCCTTGGGTTCGTCGATCGGCTCCGCGACGATGCCCGCCCTGTTGGCGTCCATGTCCCACACGGCCGAGGCGCCTGCGCCGTGACCGTCGGCCATTCGTCCGTGCAGAATCTGCTCCACGTTTACCTCAAGCCGAGGACAAGAACGACGAGGACGGCGAGGACGCCGAGGAGGACGACGAGGACGACGAGAACGAGGAGGATGAGGACGAGGACGAGGACGCCGAGAAGGACGACGACGAAGAGGACGAGCACCTTGACCCCGTGCATTTTGCCCTCTGGCTTCTTATCTTCCGCATCAAGCAACCCCTCAGGCTTCCCCCAGATGCAGTTGACGATGTCTGTGGTGAAGTACACAGTCATCACGTACACGGCAGCCGCTGCCAGGAGACTCGCTGCCTCCCAGAACTCGATCGTTTTATCCTGCAAAAACGCGTACAATAGACAGATAGACAAACCGTAGAAGAAACAGTCTCGCGCAAACGGGACTCGCTCAAGCTGGAGAGGCAGAATGGGGGCGCAGATGGTGGCGGCGCCAACGATGATCAGCAGGTTGAAGATCTCGGACCCAACGACGACGCCAATTCCTGCGTCCGAGCCAGTATACAATGAGATCAGGTTCGTGAACAGCTCTGGCCCGTTGCATCCGAGCGCGCAGATCGTCGCTCCAGCCACGGCTTCCTCGCCCCACCTTTGGGCGAACTTGGACTTGCTCTTCCGCATCGCGGTGACGAACACGTTGATCGCTGGGACAAAGTACGCGTCGCAGACGTGGTGCTGAGCGAAGAACATGAAACCGATGACGACAAACCTGGGAATACCAAACACATGAATGAAGATCAAATTCCGCGCAAAACTTCCTGGGGCGGCGCTGGAGGCGCCGCCGGAACGGGACCGGCGCCGACCCAGGAAACCCGAGCGGACCTCCAGAAGTCGACTCCTAAAAAAAGCGCTTGCAATCAAGGGCAC